TTTCAAGATTCTAGGATTAAGTCTATAAGAAATATAATTAGAAAATTCTTGCTAAAGATTTTCTTCTTCATAAAAGAAATGCTGCTCAGGGGGCTGGAGAGATGGCTCCTCAGTTAAGAGCACTGGCTGCTCTTGCAGAGGACCCAGGTTCAGTTCCCAGCAGCCACATAGTGACTAACAATTGCCTGTAACTGAAGTTCCAGCGTATCTGACGCCCCTTTTGACCTCCATGGGCATTGCATGACATGGGTGCACTTACATATATGTAGGCCATATACTCATAACATAAAATAAAATAATAAATATAAAGTTTTTTTAAATACTGTTTTGACTTATCTTGTTTCCTTGCCTAGAAGTGTAAGCACTCTGATCTGTAAGGGAAGCTGTTGTCCTCTGGACCCTGGGCCATGAGGAGGTGCCCTCTCAGGCTAATTCTCTAATAAACCTGCTTGATCTGTGGATGTTCTTTCCTTCTTGTTTTGTTCCACTTCCTATTTTCTTACAGGGTGTGGTTGAAATTTATAAAATAACAATTAAAAGAACAAAGCAAAGGAAATTTATAAAGTAACAATTCAAAGAACAGTGCAAAGGAATGCTACAAAGCTCACTATAGAAGACAAGACAATCAAATACTTAGGAAGGAAAATAGAAACCAGTTTCATGGATGTGTATAGACATAGAAATTTGTACTTATTATTTGGAAACTGAATTTATGTTGAATTCATCCCAGTAATGGAAGAATATTTCAACACGTACAAATCAGTAAATGTAATAAAGGAAATATCTAGACTCAGTGAGAGAACATGTCAGTAGATACATAAAGGCTTTATATTTTAGGCAAAATTTCAAATTTACTGACTCTAAAAGCTTTAAAGTTGAGAGCAGATGGAATACCTCAAAATGATAAAGACTATATGCTACAAACTGTAATTGAACATTATTCTAAATGGAGAAAACAACTGGAATCGTTTAAACTCTAGTCAGAAAAAGACAACCATAATTGAAACTAGTGCAGCCACTGGTACTGACAACATGAATGAAAGAGAAAGATTTTAAAGAGTCACTATAGAAAATAAAAAAAACAAGTTATAGCAATTTGCAGACAGTAGAATTCCACAATACAAAGAAAAGAAATACTCCATAAGCTCCATAAGAAAACAGAGATCTGATAGCCACCTTTTTAAAGACAGGGTCTCCTGTAGGCCCAGCAGGCCTGAAACTCACTAGTAGACCAGGCTGGCCTTGTTCTCACAGTGATCTGCCTGCCTCTGCCTCTGTGTCCAACTGATAACCATATTTATAAAGTATAAAATGCACATACAAAACCAGTTGTTTTTTACATGCCAAAAGAGAATATGTTGAGAAATCTGCAGAGCGTTCAGAGTTCTTAAACATATCTTTGATCCTTGATGGGTAATATTCATAGAGACAAAGGCTTCTATGCAGGTTGCTATGTGAGAATAGTCACCAAAAATCTTCCCCAGTTTTGGACCCTATGAGCTACAGTACCAACCTGCCAGGCAAACTATACCCACAGGTGCAATAGTGGCAAGGCTGTTTGTGGGTAACAAAATGCCTTCTGACCAAATTCCATGCACTAACCACAGAAGAAAAGCCTGGAACTATAAAACTGAACAAAAGCCTATGACTGGGAAAGTCACAGACTCTAACTAGGAATCTAATACTAATATTTTGAAAATGTATGTGTGTGTATTTATATATACATATATATATACATATATACATACAAACACACACACACACACACACACACACACACACACACACACACAGTCCAAGTACCACGGAATAGTGCAGAAGAAAGAGCAGAGAGATTATAAAAGAAGAGGAATCGGGAGCTGATATATAAAACGCTACCTTTGGTATGACATGGTTATCATAATTATGATCACATAACAGACTGGCTTCCTGCCCAAGAGCCCCACTACAAAGTACATGAAATAAGAGGGTGAAAAATTGGACAGAAGATGTAGATTATGAGGAATAGGAGAGAGTAAGGTAAGAGATAAATATAATAACTATGCCTTGTGAAAATTTATAAAAATTATTAAATATCAAAATGAAAAATTTTTTAAATGTAACAAAGAAGTGATGCAAATGTTACCAGGAAATATTGAGCATCTGTTTGAAAACAATATTTTTTTTTTTGGTCTTTTTGAGACAGGGTCTCCCTGTAGCTCCAGCTATCTTGGAACTGACTATGTAGACCAGGCTGGCCTTGAACTCACAGAGATCCACCTGCCTCTGCCTCCCAAGTGCTGGGATTAAAGGCGTGCACCACCACACTTGGCGAAAACAATAATTTTGGTTGTCTATATAATCTGCCAATTAAAATATTTTTGGCAGTACATGTTATCGGTGTTTATAAAGTTAAAACTGAATAGTAAATAAATGGCTAAAAAAGGAAACTAAAGGAAAAAAACTCCGTGATTGAACTAATCAAGCAGATTAGAGACCTGTACAATAAAAACTCTAATCCTCTTAAGGATTTGAAGAAGATGGAAAATGGAAAGATATCCGAAGTGCATGGAATGGGACGTAATATCATGAAAACTGTAATATTACTGACTTATGTGATCAGTTCAAACTCCATAATATTCAAACATCCCATGATATACTTCACAGAAATAGTCAAGAACATCCTAAAGTTTAAACAGAGTCACAAACCATCCTGAAAGTTTAGACAGAAATTAAGAAAATAATGGAATGCTCATGTAATCGCAAAATGTGATTACAGGTTTTACTGCAGAGCCATAGAAACAAGCTATAGAAGGTAGTGGCAAAAAAGTAGACAGATATCCCAGTGCAACAGAAGATCTAGAACCATACCCACGAACTTTGACTGTATAAGTTCCTCAAACTGCCAAAACTTCTGGTGCAGAACACAAAGATTCATCAATCAACATTGCTGGAATCAATATATCCACATATGGAAGAATGAAACCCAGTCTGATTCTATTCTACCTTACAAAAACCAATTGAAATGAGCCATAGACCTTAATGAATGACCAGACAGAGTGGAACAGAGAGTAAAACAAAGGGAAAATTACTGTGAGACCCAGGCCAGCCTGGTCTACATAGTGTGTTCCAGGCCATCCGGGGCTACAAGGGGTCCTGTTTTTTGTTTTTTTGTTTTTTAAATTCCTCCTGGAATTATTCATAGATATGGAGAAATTAATCCTAAAATGATGTAGAATCTGAAGGAACTACAAAACTCTCCAAAATTCTGAGAGGGAGAAATTTTTAAAAATATCCCAGAGAAATCAGTTTTCCCAGTTTTACAATATATTAAAATTATACCAATGAAAATGATATGGTTTTGGTTCAAAGACCCAAAATTTGAGAAAGGAATGATATAGGGACATAATCATTCACATGCAGATTCAAAATTATATTTTTCTGCTATTATTGATTCCTATATAGATGAAGTATAATAACAAAAGTATTCTAAAATCTACAATAAGATATATCTTGAGATGATTTTCAGTGGAAGTCTCAAAATTATTTTGTTGCCAGAGTTCTCTCTGGGTCTCTTGTGCTATCAGGAAAACAATATAACATATCTTTGTGTGCATTTATTGTTATCATGGGGAAGGGATTGGGGGAGGGGAGAACTTACAAAGAAATGAGCACCCAGTGCCTTGGCTCAGAGCCCGCCATATCAGATCACTCCCGTGGCACACCAATAGTCACTGCTAGCTTTTGCCTATACCTCTGGAGAACACACTTCTAGTGAGCAGAATGTATTTTCACTAGAGCCTCTCACTTGGGGATGCCTCATTAACTCCAACCTACCTGGGACATTTGCTACACTGTCCCCATCCCTTCACATCCCTGGGTTCTTTGTTTCAGTCCAGGCAGGTAACCAGGACTTAACTTAGTGTACTACCTGCCTCTTAAAAGGAGATGCCCTACAAAGTACCTGGGTATGTTTTAAACTACTGTGCTCAATAGATAAACAGAAATCATAATACGGGAGTCTACAAATGATTCCCCAATTATAATATTCCTTCAGAACCTTGATAATATTTAGGAAGCATTATATATCAAGTTTGTATAACTTGAATTCTAGATCTAATTATAGCTCTGAAAATTCAAGGGTATAAATGGAACTTTATGCTTAGGGTGACAACATTACATGTTACTGAGTGTCTTGACTTTATCAGGAAACAAAAATGGAAGAAACATAATACCTCCCAGAAGAACAAACATCAACAATAGACAAATTATTGTGAAAATGCTCTTTTCTCTGAGAATTTCATTTTATTATGAGATGCAACACTCATTCACACAAAGCTGACACACATGCAGAGAAGTTTGACAAATGACACTGAGTATGAATAAGGAATACTGCAAGAAATGTATTCTCATCACCCAAACCATATTGATGTAATCCCTCTCCATCAGGTCTATATACAGAGACCTGTGAGTGGGGTCTGGGCCTTGCCCCTCCTCCTCAGAGAAGTCCACAGCAACATCACTGAATGTCAACACAGCCTGAAATAAAAATAACAGTTTGAACATGTGTCCATGAAGAGAGTGCTTTTCTTGAACTAAGGAGACCAAAGAGCATTACAGACATTTTTCTGATGGAGATGAGTTATAAATTATACAAGAGATGCTTTCTGATATAGACCCATTATATAATGCATTTCCTAATTGTGAAAATTGTTGGGAGCCTGAGGCTCAGCCATTTCTCAAAACTGCTGACACACCTGAGTTGGTGACTTTCCATTCTGCCTACCATCCTCCTGCAGGCACAGGACAGAGCCCGCGGCCTTGGCCCACAGCCTTGGACTCTTTCCCATTCTCCTCCCACAGGCACAGGACAGAGCCTACGGCCCTGGGCCCATGGCCTTGGCCCACGGCCTTGTTCTCCTTTCAGATTCCTCCCTTAGGGTACATCTGGGCCCCTGTGTTCTGGCTGATATGATTGCTCACTCTTTGCTCCTTTGTTTTCATTCTCTATTTAACCCCATGCTTGAGCTGCAATAAACGAGACTTGATCAGAGCCCTGTCTTGTCTCCATTTCTCTTGTTGCTTGCCTCATCCATGGCCCCACTCCTCAATCCAGGTACTTCGTGGCAGTTTTCCACGGGTCGGAACCGAGTCACGCTGCAGAAAATAGTATAGCATAGTGTCTTAATATTCAGCATGCATACTATGTGTTTATGGACTCTAAGACCTAAAATTAAGACCTCAAGAAAAATGAATGTACATTTTTGAGTGTTCTATATCAAAAAGAGTGTATTCTTTTAACATTAATGGGAAGTTAAAATGTATTGGCTGATTCAACCAAACCTGCAGTGTTTCCTTACTTGCCTAAAATGTAAAAAGTTCTCTGGAGATGCCAAGACCCTGGGTCCAAATCCTAACCTCTTAACTATGGAGGATTTAGAACATGGAAGTCAGAATGCATGGACAAACTTCAATTGGAAGACTTTTGTGTTTTCCACAACAGCAAGGAAAGGAAAGAATTATCTGAAGTACATCTTATAGATTCCATGTTACTCTTCCATGGTTTTAAATATCAATACATGAATTAGCATAGTTGACATTTTTATGACTATATTTTGACAACCATTAAATTTACTTTAGAAAATTAGAATTTGTCCTAGTTCATATGATCTAAGCTTTACTTTAAAAAAAAAATGCACCCAAATGTGTACATAGAATATTCAGAGCTAGTTTTCTTCTTGAAAAATAATCATAAAAAATGATTAAAATCCTGATTAATTTCCCCACCCTGCCTCTGGTTCCCATAGCTCTTCTGAGTGCTGAGTGTCCCATGGATACCAGTGCCAGGGTTCCAGGGCACACCACTCCTCTGATCAGGAGAATTTTCCTTTCCACACCTCCTATGAGTCGAGAAGTTCCCCTGCCTGTTTCTCACCAAGTTTCTATGCATGTAGGTTGTTCTGACCAGGGTGAGTTTCCAAGTCCCTTCCAGCTTCCAGTTCTTCACAATACCAATCCATGTGATTCCTGTGGCTTGAGTGGGTTTCTGCATCCCTACGAGACACCACCAGGTTTTTCCAAACTCTAGAGCTGCACCACACTGCTTTCTGCTACATGTGGTCTTTCTGGCTCCAGTTTGTATGCAGACCCCAGCAAGACCCCATTTTCCAGCCTGCCTTTGGAGCCTCACCACCTCTCCCCTGGCTCAGATCACTCCACCCCACCCCTTCAAAATATGTCTGTCTTTTGACCTCACCCATTCCTTGTCGCACCTCTAAGTCCATTGAGGTTTCCCTGTTTACACAGTCTTTTTTTCCCCATCACTCCTCTGACTGGAGGTCATGGCACAGCCTCACTGAGACCCTATCCTTCCCACCCTGTCGCAAGCTACTTACCACATAGCTTTGGGAGTCTAGCTATGGACTCACTGTACACAGGCATTTCACTTGGTCATTACAGAGACCTGGATCTTCTCTGCTACCTGGTCCCCAGCCTGGGTTTTGTCATCTAGAGTGACTACAAATATCCAGCTTGAAACCTGATCTAGAGATTCCTTCCTCCTGGCTAAGGAGAGAATCATGAACAGCCCGAATCCATATGCACAGCTCCCATCCCAAAGCAAAACAATATGATAAACCAAGTCAGTCAGTTACACTATGAAAAACACCAATTCCAAAACACAAGCAAATAGCTGAATGAAATAATGAGGACTAGGCAAGATATGAAAATTGAACTCCATAAAGAAATAGAATAAAGACTCAAACAAATGAAGCAAGAAATATAAATCTCAATAACTTGAATTTAAAAGTTCAATGGAAAACCTTACAAACAGAATAGATCAGGAACACAGATCAGAATGTAGGGTTTGAAAACAGGGTAGAGAAACTGGATCAGGAATCAAAGAAAAGGATTAATAAAAAAGAAAACACACTCCATCCTAGGAAAAGACAACAATGGAATTCAGGCTGCATCTTCGTCATTGATATGAAATTCTTCTACAGTTTGATTCAGTGAAGGTCACCCTGGAGAGCATTCAAAAGAAGCTGCATAATCTGTTCCTTCACTATACAAATGAAATAACACTGAAAAACTTTCTTTACCCTTTCTCTGAGATCTTCCCTATTCCCAGTTAAATACCTGGAATTTTACTAACAATTTTCACTTTTGGGGTGATCCTACAGGAATTTTGGTTTTTGAAAGACAGTGGTTGCTTCATGAACTGGCTGAGGAAGCCTGCCAATCCAGCTCAGTGCAGCCTGCACCATACTGCTCTCACCACTAGAGGACGGTTTTGCCATATTAGAAAATAAAAAAAAAATTTGTCTTCCAGAAATCAACGTTAAAGATAGTTGCAGGTAAAACATAAAAAATTCCTTAAAAAAAAAAAAAGCACAGGAAGGGAATATGGAGAAATTTTACAATACAATTGAAAAGTCAAATCCACAAATTATAGATGTAGGAGGAGTAATGTAATGTGAATTTGAGAAATTCACCTACGTTTTAGGTACCCACTGATATTTTATTTTATATATACATTGGAACTAATCAGAGCAATTAATATATCCACATATAATACTTTTATCCTACCTTATGTTTTATACATGCAAATTCATCATTCCTAACAATTTTAAAATATAAAATACATGTTGGAGAATTATATTCACTTGATTGTGGCATCAAACTATACAAACTAGTTATGCCATAAGAAATATTGTTTCTTTTGATTAGCCTATATACTTCCCATCCAATGAAACAACTATCATATCTTCAACATCTGTCATCTGTATTTTTGCACATTTTTCTTATGACTAAAACCATGTAGCTCTTGTGTTTGAACTTCCTCTACCTGTTTCCCACCAGATCAATCACAATGCCATGTATGAGAAAATTCATATATGAGAAAATGTCATATATATGACATATATTTTTTAGAAATATCACATTTTATTAAATCTTTCATGTGTTATTAGACTTTATAATTGACTTCATATGATGTAAATAGTGCTGTAAAATTTAGGTAGAGTACATTTCTCTAGCCCATATTCAATTCATCTGTTTTCTGTGTATATCCAGGATTGCAATTACACTATTGTAGAGCAATTATTTTTTATTAATATTTTTATTTTATGTGTATGTGTGTATTGTCTACATGTATGTCATGCAATGTCCTCCGAGATCAGAAGAGGGTGTTGGATCCCTTGGAACTGGAGTTATGGACAGTTGTTAGCTGTCATGTGGATGTTGGGAACCAAACCCAGGTTCTCTTCAATAACAGTTAGTGCTCTTAACCACTGACCCATGTCTCCAGCCCCTGAAAAATTATTTTTCTGATTTTACAGAAATTTAAAATTATCTCTGCACGATGCTGTTCCAGTACTCATGCGCACTGACAATGCATCTGCATGCCACATTGAGTGCTAGACAACATGAAAGAAACTTCCAGCTTGGTTGGAACTTGATTTTATTGTATGCTATGTTGAATGTTTATAATTGGTCAGATAAAGTAGTAGAGTAATCACAAAATACACTGACAAGTCCTATAAACTAGTTTGTAGGGGAAATGAATCAAATAGAAACATCAGAGTTCTGCACCAGTTCTTCAATAAAGGGCAGGATCCTTTAGGTGAGTGGAGAACCATGTAGCACATTCATCAGTCTCCCTCTGTGGTCACATACTCAAGGCTTAGGTTCAGAGACTCATCTAATCTATCGAGGTTTGTTTCTGTGAAAGGCTCTGGGCACAGATAAACAGAAGATCTTTGACATCTTGGAGAATATGTAAGGATGAGGAATTCCCCTTTGTTGTGTGAGTCCAAAGGTCAGTGCACCACTGATTGAATAACGATTTGAAGATAATTCATATATAGGCATACTGAAGTTAAAAAATTCTCAAAGAAGGAAATGGGGCAATTTTTTATCTCTGTCAACTTAAGATTGTGAGCAATATGCCTGAAAATGTCAGAAAAGCAACTCTCTGTTCTTGTGCATGCACAGAGACAGTCCCTTTAGAATGTTCTGAAGCAACAGTATACATTGTTGTTAAACTCATGAAGCACTATACTTTCACACATATGTAATAATACCTAAGGCCATTGTATTAGTTATTTTTCTGTTTCTGGGATAAAACACAAGGAACAAGATAAATTATAGAAGAAGGTGTTTATTAGGCCTTATAGCTCTAGAAGAGTAAGAGTTCATCATTGTGGGGAGACAATGTGGCAGGAGGCTAAAACTGAGAGCTCACATGTTAATGGGCAAACAGAAAGCAGACAGAATAAACTGTGAGTGGGGCAAGGATATAAACTCTCAAAGGCCATTCCCAGTGACAGACTTCCTCAAGCAAGGTTGCATGTCCTAAAGCTCTGAAAACAGTGTCACTGTCTGTGGATGTAGTATTCATGTATTTGAAATTATGATGAACATTTCTCATTGAAACCACCACATTCCAATACTTGGCCCCGAAAGGCTCATGGCCACCTCATAATGCAAAATGCAGGTGGCTCAACTTTAAATTGGACAACACACAGTTAACTGGAAACTTTGGAAGGCCACAAGCAAGTTGGAGGAATGCCATAATGTTCTTTGCACACAAGCAGGTGTGTGAAGGTGTTGGCCAGCAAAACGACCAGCACGGCAGCCTTCATCTTGTGCTTGTTATTCCAAAGTCCAGAATGTCCTTAGAGATAAGGAGCAGATAATAGTTGGGAAAAATATTTGTATCTTATGAGAAATCATGTACTGTGCTTCTGCTTCACATGATATAATTATTTTACAAGGCCAATAAAAAAAAGCAAAGAGGCATTCGAGGCTCTTTGCCGTGGAGGTGCTGAGCCCTCTGCTTTCTTTGAACTGAGCATTCCCATGTCTTTCCATGGTTATTTTCAGGTCTGAACAATAACAGAAGGGGATAGATTAAACTGGAAGTGGGGCAAAACTAAAAACGCTCAAAGCTCACACCGAGTGGAAAACTTTCTCCAGAGTGGCTGTATCACCTAACCGTTGCTAAACACCAACACTAACTGGAGGTCAGTGTCCAAATAGAGAGACACAATGGGGGACATTTTTCATCCAAATCACCACAGTCTTTCTTTGATAAAAGCTACAAAATGTAACTTAGTTTTTATATTTGTTAATGGAGTCATTGCAAAAGTTCAAATAATGGCATTACCATCATTGTAATTCTCATAGTACCTTAGAGAAAACGAGTTTTAAAAAATCATTTAAGCTGGGCGTGGTGGCGCACGCCTTTAATCCCAGCACTTGGGAGGCAGAGAGAGGGGGATCTCTGTGAGTTCAAGGCCAGCCTGGTCTACATACTGAATTCCAGGACAGCTGGGGCTACAGGGAGACCCTGTCTCAAAACACCAAAAAAAAAAAAAATCATTTAAGACGCTTCACTTTTATTTATATTTTGATTGACAATTTCATACAATGTATTTTAATCAGATTTCTCTTTCCTATCTTCTTCCAGATAATCAACAATTCTCTATACCCTCAAATTTCTTTTTGTTCTTTTGTAGCCTATGAGTCAAATTTGTGTTGCCCACATACTATTTGGGGTGGAACCTTCCCTGCAGCATGGTTGACCTACCAGTTGACACATCCTTAAACTCAGTCTTCCTCCTCCAGATCCTAGCAAATGCCAATAGGTTCTCAGCTAGTGCTGAGAATTTTGGGCACTTCCTCCTGTCCATTATGGAATTTTATTTGGCTTACGTCTTAGTGGGCTTTGTGCATGCTGTAACAATTGCTGTAATGTCATATGTACAACTGCCCTGCTCTCTGGAAAATAATGTTCCTTGTAGTGATCCACCACCTCTGGCTCTTAATTTCAGAAAAAGTCCCTGAGATTTGGGGTATGGAATGTGATATCAGTGTCCCATTTAGAGATGAGCATTCCACAGTCTCTCATTCTCTGCATTGTTAGTTGTGGGTCTCTGTGTTAATTGCCTTCTACTGAAAAAATCGCTGAGAGTAAGGTGATATAATAATCACTATGTACAACAATAACTCATTAGGAGGCATTTTAATATTATGTCAATTTAATAAAATATCAGTAGTAATTTCAGTCCTAGGCCTTAGGCCTGTGTCCTGTGTAGCCGCAGGTTCTTGATCCCCAATAATGCTGCTAATTATGAGTTGTATAATAAACAATGAAACTTTAGTTATGTATGTGAAATGTCTCCTTAAAGCTCTTACATTGAATAGTCAATAATTTGTTTTCAGTATTGATAGGTATGACCAATGAAACTTGTTTATGAAGCTCTAAATATAGTGTTCTAGCTATTGAAGCGTACAGCCCCATTTAGAGAAAGTCAGTCATGAATTTTTAACTGTCAAGCAAGTATTCTGTGTCTGTCATGTGAAAGCTTGTTCTCTCCCCCACCTTATTCTCTCCCCCTTTCGCCCCTCTCTCTCTAGTCATTAACTTTACTGTCAAGAGGAAAACTGGCTTGTATACCACGTGATTCCAAAATCACTTAATTTGTGTCACCACTGCCAATATTAATGTAACAACATGACCAAGAGTCTGGAAAACTGAACTTAAAGAAATCATAACTTTTCTATTAGGTTTATCATGTATTCTCTCACTGTAAAGGGGAAAGGACAGTAATACACTATTTCCTGTGAAACTGTGTGGTTTGTTTTGTTTATAGTGGAAAAGCTACAGGCTTACATGCATCATCCTACTACTGTTTCTTATTGCTAAATGGAATTGGAGTCTAATGTAGTTGGCAATTTCTCTCAGCATAAACATTTGAATCTGTATGGTGAAGTGGTCCAGAAAGACAATTGATGCAAAGAAGACTATTGCATTAGTTTTAAAAGTATAAATTAAAAAGCCATAAATTATGGGCTTAATTATTTTGTTATATGATTTGGTCATATGCACCTTACTGTCTCTATATAAAATATAAACTTTAGTAATAATATATTGCATATTATTTGAATTTTAATGCCCTCAGTATAAAGGAGTCTTATGAACCATTCTTCTGTATTTTACATTTTATAAGATTAGTGTTGCAATCAGTGTTTGTTTCTTGTAGAATAAAACGAAGCAGGCAGGATTCATATTGTTGGAAGACCACATTTTTAGTTGGAGCTCTGGGTTAAAACATTGAGTATAAAATTTCTATTTATTTAACTAAAATAAGCATACAGAGTTTAAAAGACATTTTGAAATAAAGTACATGTGAGTCAGTAAATATGCACACAAAAGGCATTAAAACCAATATTATGCTCTAACATATAAGTATTAGTGTTCATTACCTCACATTTTTAAAGACAGGCTAAAATGCCAAGAGGATAGAACCTTGTTAAAATCGCAGAATTTCTAATAATAGTTTTCACTTTTCTGTGATGGCTCTATATATTTACACTACATCAAGCAGTGCTGAAAACATGTAACTATTCTTCAGTTTTATTATTTATTACCAAGTTAATGTACTGGGCCACATATTTCCTCATTGAAACATGGGTTATGATTCTTCTTAAATACTCGATTGTCTTTTTTCTTTGAGTAAATCAGAATGCTTTCTGAAAACTCTACATCACACTAAAATGCATTCTCATTACTCATAAATCTACATTCAGATTTCTGTGAAGAATTTTTCTATGGCAATGAATTATTCCTGAAACAAGAACATTAATGAAGTATCTCTAATATGCAATACATTCAATCTGATCTGTGTCAACAATTATTATAAACAATCATATTAATGCTGCCTACATAAGACAATTTAAATGGGGATCAAACTAAATTATGGAGGTTTCCCTTCAATGAGATTCGTTTCTAGGAATAGCGTTGTTTAAAAAGAATGCAGTTAAGTTTAAGTAAATATCATACACTATTCCATTAAAATATACTAGTGACTGATGCCATTGTTTTGATTTGATTTTCCACAATAGTGTAATTTGGCATACTGCATTATTTAGCTATGGCCATGGTCTTTGTTATTATGAATTTTCTACTGATAAGATTTGAGGTTGTGTACATAATGTTCACACTTTACAGTGTAAAGACAGATTTTCTTTACATGCTTTTGGGATTTCTAAATTGTACATGTTCTGGAACATGTTCACACATCCATATGTGAGTTCTGTTAATAACTTTGAGTCACAGTCTTAATATTTATGTAGTCTATCCATAGTGTGAATTCTTTGATGGTAAATAAATGATAAGACTTTTATCTAAGATTTTTGTGAGGTCTCTATTTTCTGATGTGTTCTAAGTTTTTGAGTTCTACTTAAATCATGGCTGACATTCCTTTGAGCTGTACAGTTTCTTTACACAATGGATTCTGTGATGTTCAACAAGATTTAGAGTTCAAGTAAAACTCTTATGAGAGTCTTTACATTTCAGTTTCTCCCACATATGAATTGTCTCATGTTGAATTAGAGATAGCTTTTAATGATGAGTTTGCTACATTATTTTTATCTGTTTCATCTTCACTAAAATTCAATATATTTCTAACATTTACATATTTATTACAGTCTTCATATTTCCTATATTTAGAAGTTTCTCTCTTGCATGGATTCTGTAATGATTTCTAAGTATTTAGTACAGGCTGGATTATTTGTTACATTCTGTACTTTTGTATAGTGTCTCTTCAGTAAGACTTCTCAGTGAAATCTAATATTCAACATAGAAAGGGGTTGCCACATTACTTGCATTTGTAGTGTTTTATTCACTGTTAATTCTCTGATGTTCTCTTAGAAGTGGAATATGATTAAAGGATGTGTCACCTTCTTCACATTATGAAGGGTTTCTCTTCACTATGAATGTTGTGATGTATTCTAAGATTTGACATTTGACTAAAGGATTTTTTTTACATTCTTCACACTTTATGGTCTCTCTAGTATAAATTCACTGGTGTATTCTAAGGCATGATATTTGAGTAAGGGACTTCTCAAGTTCTTTGAATTTCTAGAGTCTCTCTCCAATAGGAACTATTTGACGTACTCTAAGAGATATTTGAGTAAAGGGCTTGTCACATTTCTCATACATGTATAGTTTCTCTAAAGTATGAATTCTTTGATTTGATATTTGATGAAAGGACTTTTCACATTTTTCACATTTCTAGGGTTTCTGTGCGATATGAGTTCTTTGATGTGCTCTAAGAGACAATATGTGTGTAAACGACTTGTTAGATCCTTCACTCTTATATGGAATTCTCTCCTGAATGAATTCTCTGATGTTTTCTAAGAGTGATATTTGAATAAAGATCTTTCACATTCTTCACATTTGTAGGGTTTCTCTACTGTGTGAATTCTTTAATGCGTTCTAAGATTTGATATATGATGAAAACACATTTCACATTCTTCACATTCATAGGGTTTCTCTCTTGTGTGAATTCTGCAATGTATCCTGTGTTGAGTAATCAGTAAATGATTTGCCACATTCTTCACATTTGAAGGGGTGCACTCCTGTGTGAATTCTGAAATGTGTCCTATGTGTTGAGCAATCAGTAAATGATTTGCCATATTCTTTACATTTGAAGGGTTTCTCTCCTGTGTGAATTCTTTGATGTGCTTTAAGATTTGCTATTTGATGAAAAGGCATTTCACATTCTTTACATTTGTAGGGTTTCTCTCATATGTGAACTCTTTAATGTTTTCTAAGATGTGATATTTGAGTAAATGACTTGTCACATTCTTCACACCTGTATGGTTTCTCTCTCTATTGTGAATTCTTTGATGTTTTCTAAGATGTGATATGCGAGTAAAGAACTTTTCACATTCTTCACATTTGTAGAGTTTCTCTCCAGTGTGAGTTTTGTAATGTTTCCTAAGTGCTGACAACTCAGTAAATGACTTGCTACATTCTTCACATTTGTAAGGTTTCTCTCCTATATTAATTTTATGACATCTTTTAAAGAGTTGAAGTCGTTATATGAGTCAAAGAAGAAAGATACATTTCACACATGAACAATACAGCTGAGACAATAACACATTCAGAGATATATAATGAAAAAGTAATAGTCATGAAGAAAAATTCCAAAAGCCCTGAGAAACAGTCAAGGGGCAGAATGCAACTATTGGGATTTCAGTTATAAACCAAAGTCAGACAAAATTTTCAATAAATTTACAGCAGGAAGTTTCAGAAAGACAACGTAAGAAATGGAAATAAGAGCTGGGCATGGTGGCACACTGTCGCACTAAATTTTCCCCTTCCCGCTATCTGTTCTACCCACCCTCACTCTCACAGTGTCTTGTGGTCCTGACACCGGCTTCCAAATCGGCATAACACATTTTCATCTTGGGTTTCACATGGTTTATATGACAGGGAGGGAGCGATTTACGAAAAGATGAAATTTTAATAACTTTAACATCATTCAAGCCCCGCCCACAGTCTCCATTAGCTTTTGCTGGTGCCCCACGTGGTCTCACCCCATGGACATACTTCCTGGTCCCAGCTCCAGACTGGTGCACCCTTGGTTCTCTCCCTTTTCCAATCTTGCCTCTGCTGGTTCTGCAGGGTTCCCTGCACTCACCTCTCACTCAGGCTTTTTGGAGGAATGAGTGGTTTCCAGACTACACACATGCTTGTAGTACCAGCACTTAGGAGGCAGAAGCAGGCAGATCTGTGTGAGTTCCAGGCCAGCCTGGTCTACATAGTCAGTTCCAGCCCAGCTGTGGCTACAGGAAGACCCTGTCTCCAAAACACCCCCCCCAAAAAAGAGAGAGAGAGAAAAAGAAAAAGTAAATAAGAGTTATTTAAGAATCCAAATAGACATGTGCAGAAATTTACACTCAAATTATATGAAAGTGTGAAAAATAGATCAAAAATCATTATTGAAAGCTGTATGAAAAAATTCAGTGAAATCAACAAAATGTTTCATACAGGAAATATGAAATAAAAATTCTTCCAAAATTTACATAGAAATTTTATTCCAAAAGAACATATTATTAGCTACAAAGTAAGCATTAGCTAAAAAAAGTATAAAATTCTTAGTATAATTTAAAATAACAGTGGAAAAACTACAATTAACTAGAAAAGAAACAAAAGAATGTGCACAAATACTTGTTCATTGAACAATCTCATTTGACTACATTTTGGGCCACTGATATAATCAAGGAGGGAATTTACAAATTCTTCCTATAAAGTGAAAATGATAGTACATCCTATGAGAAAATCTCTGATACAGCTAAGGCACTTTGAAGACGGAAGTTTATGTCTAAACATAAAATATCCAAAAGATATCATTTAAATATCATAGTAATGCAAGTCAAATTTCTCCATCATCAAAGAAAGCTAAACACAATGCATTAGATGAAAAGAAATAACAAACAAAACAGAAATTATCAAAACACAACAAAAAAATAATACAGTAAATCAAATACTTGATGAAAATAATTGATAAACCACTAGTGAAACTAACTAAAAAAAGTGACAGAAAATAGAATCTAATAAAATTGGAGGTAGGAAGGGACTTTTTAGCCAAACCCTAGCTCATCCCTTAACCTTTCCTTGCATGCACACCATTTGAGACTGCATGAAGAATTAGACTGCTCAAACAAAGAATATGAAAACTTATTTTAAAAAAATTTATTGACCTTTTGTACATTTCATACAACAGTTCTTAATCAAATTTAGCCCACCTTCCAAACTCATGCCTCCTCAACCCCTCTGTCCACCAGAGCTCATATATTCCACTAGACATGGTAAGCCTATTCAGCCAAGCATTTGTACCCAGATGTCCTTCAGTGAAAATTCATCCACTGGAGTCTAGTCAGCCTCTCTAAAGATCGTTGGTATGACCTACTCTCCCTTACCAGTAGTGATCAGTCTCCAATAATTCCTCACCTGCCACCCATTTCCCTTGCTCCCCTCTGGGCCCTTGTCTGGTTGAGTTGGCATGGGTCCTGTGCTCAATGCCAGCATTGCAATAAGGTCATATGTGCAAGCTTCCAGTGACCTGAAAGCCTCTGCTTCTTTATGTTTATGAACCAACCCTAGCTCTTAGAATCTTTCCATACCCCTGTTCTGCAACGGTCCCTCAACCATGGGTGGATAATATCTTCCAAATTATATTTCAAATTAAAGGAAACAGAAGAGCTAAATAGGATGAGATCATTTTGATCAAAGGAACAATTGATGAGCAAGATATTACAATGATGAACATATATGCAATGAACTCTCCTACGCCCGATTTCATGAAAGCAGTACTATGACCCTGGGCGTGGTGGCATACGCCTTTAGTCCCAGCACTCAGAGGCAGGCAGAGGCAGGTGGATCTCTGTGAGTTCCAGGCCAGCCTGGTGTACGTAATGGGTTCCAGGCCAGCTCAAGCTACAGGGAGACCCTGTCTCAAAAAGACCAAGAAAAACAAAAAACAAACAAAAACCCAAAAAACTAAAACAAAAGCAGTACTACAGGACTTTAAGATCACAGATTAACTTCAACCCAGTAATAGTAGGGAACTTCAATACCACACTATCTACACTAAATAGGTCAACTGGGCAAAGAATAAATGAGAGACATCTGAATTAAATATACCATGCATCAAATGGACCTGACAGAAATCTACCAAAATTTCCCACAGAAGCACCTAAGAATACACTTTCTACATATCACCACATGGAACTGTCTCTAAAACTTACGGTATACTGGGGCACAAAACAAACATCAAACACTACAAAAAAATTGAAATAATTCTATATACTCTATCAGACCAGAACATAATAAAGCTTAAATTAATACCAAAAGAGGCTCTTGTCACCACATGAGGTCACAGAGATTAAACAACATACTCCTGAATGATGACTAGGACAAAGAAGAAATTAAGAAAGAAATAAAAGTATTCCTGGAACTAAATGAAAAGGATAACACAACACAATAAAACCTCTAGGATACTTTAAAAGCAGTCCCAAGAAGGAAGGTTACAGTTCTAAGTGCCTACATTAGAAAATCAGAAAAGAACACATAAATGACAGTGCAAATCAACACTCAGTAAAGGCAAGAAAAAATGAAACAAACCTAGTGGATGAGAATAACAAAAAATGTAGCAGAAATTAATGAAATATAAACAAAACAATACAAAGAATCTAAGAACTGGTCATTTGAAAAGATAAAGATAAAGAAGATAGACCCTTACCCCAGTTAACCAAAAGAAAGAAAGAGCAAATCCAAATCAACAAAATCAAAGATGAAAGGGAAAACATCACAACAGATACCACAAAGATCCAGAACATTATAATGGAATAGATTATAAACCTATCCTGTCAAATCAGAAAACATAAAATAAATGATGAATATCTAAAATCATGAGAGCCACCAAAGCAAAACCAAGAAGAGATCAACAGCTTAAGCAGACCCATCAAAAATAAGGAAATTAAAACAGTAATACAAAACCACCCAACTAATACAGCCCAGGCACAGTTGGATTTACAACAGAATTTTACCAGACATTTAGATAAGATGTACAAACAGAACTACTTAAATTATTAAAAAAGATAGAAACAGTAGGAGAATCCCCCAAACTCCTCTATAAAGCCAGCATCATTCTGATAACAAATCCAGGTAAAAATAAAACAACAAAAAATAAAACTACAGACCACTATCTGTAAAGAACATAGATGCAATTCTTAACAAAATACTTGCAAGGTGCATACAAACACACATCAAAAAATATCAACAACCATGATCAGCTTTATTCCAGAGATTCAGGGATGGTTCAATATATGTAAGTCAATAAATGTAATACGTCATGTAAATGGAATTAAGGACAAAAATTACATGATCATTACTATAGATGTAGAAACTGCTTTTGACCAAATCCAACATACATTTATGTTAAAAGCCCTAGAAGGAATTGAAATGGAAGGAACACACCTCAACATAATTAAAGGTATATACAACTAACTCATGGCCAACATTATGGTAAATGGAGAAAAACTGAAAGCATTCCCATTAAAATTAGCATCCAGACAAGGCTGTCCACTATCTCAACTCCTCTTTTATTTGGGGGGGGAGCAATTTTTGAGACAGGGTCTCCTTGTAGCCTCAGCTGTCCTGGAACTCACTATGTAGACCAGGCTGGCCTCGAACTCACAAAGATCCACCTGCCTCTGCCTCCCAAGTGCTGGAATTAAAGGTGTGCACTACCATGCCAGGCTCAACTCCTTTTTAACACACAGTGTGTAACTCTTGCTACAGCAAGAAGACAAGAGAAGGAAGTTAAAGGCCTACTAATTGAAAATGAAGAGGTCGATTTATCCCTATCTCCAGATGACATGATATTTACATAAGAGATCCACAGATTCCCCCAGAAAAACTCCAAGAAATGACCATCACTTTCAGCAATGTGGCAGGTTAGAAAAATCAATCTACAAAAGTCAATAACCTTTCTATTTAATAAGAACAAGCAACTGGAGAAAGAGTTCATGGAAACTCTCCCAATCACAATAGCTTCAAAAAGTATCTATAAATAAACTAAACCAAAGACAATAAAGAATTCTACAATAAAAATTTAAATATTTGAAGAAAGAGGTTGAGAAAGATACCAGGAAATAGAAAAACCTCCCGTGTTCATGGATTGGAAGAATTAATATTGTGAAAACAACCATCCTACCAAAAGTATTATTTAGATTCAATGCAATCCCAATCAAAATACCCATGACATTCTTCAATGAAGTAGAAAAATATCCTAAAATTAAATACATACAGAATCACAAAAGTTTGCAGATAACAAAGCAATCCTGAGCACAAAAAAAACAAAGCCCTGATTATGATACCCAATCTCAAGCTATATTACAGAGTCATCAATTTAACATGGTATGGTACAAAAATGACACATAGATCAATGGAATGTAATTGAAAACCCAAACATGAGTACTT